CACACACACACACACTTTATGGATGAGTTTTAGGGTTAAATTTCTAGTATTATACATGAATAAATACAGTAAGATGAAAATTGTAAACTTTAATAATAATGCCTGTCCTGATCCAGAGCTGTTGGCTTTAAGTAACTGAGCAGTTTAGTTTGATAGACCATAAACTACACTTCCCATAATGCATGTTGATTACATGGGAATTCCCTGTAGGAAAGTGGGAGATTTCAGAAATCAAGATGGCAGCTGCTCATTACAACTCAGCAGTGAGTAAAACTCTCTTCCTTCTACTAGAAATAGTATTTGTTTTATTTATTTCATTCAGTGAGTTGTACACATAGTTTTCAGTGTTTATAAGAGGATGTGTTAAAACACTGTTTCTGTGCAGGAAACACCAGGTAGAGCTCAGTGTTTGTTAGCAGGGCTCAGCCATAGCAAAGAAAAGAARGAGACATTTTCTGTTTAAAGTTAAACATGAAACATGAAAGATAATTACACCTGGCCCTTTGAGGACCACCATAACGCTCATGTGGCCCTGATCTAAAGAGACCAGATGTAGGACGGGGCCTGAAGTCCAGTAACTCTGACACATTTCAGGTTTTCCCTTGTGAGGCATCAGAAATGACTCAAACACAAAATGTAAACAAGTTTTATTGCCTGTGACTTCACCACTACAGCTGATCCAGATCAGTAAGGACAGAAGTGACTTTATCTAAACCTGGTCTTTAACACTCACCCTCTCTGACCAGCTGTTTGACATGTTTAGGTTCTAGACCTGGACTCCTGTTGGACGGTTGTAAAGTTTGAGGGTTTGTGAGTCACCGTACCGTTAAGTTGGATTAAACATGAAGTTAAAATGTTTATTGTTTTTCACAATAAAAGCTCTAAAGTATGTGGATAATAAGTTAGGGTCAGACCTCCCAGCCTGGTGTTGGAGTCTGACAGGATGTTGCTTCAGTCCTGACTAACAGCTAAACCTCAGCTACACATTTCATCATCATCATCATCATCATAAACCCACATCCATAAATGTGCTCACCGCGTGACGGCGTGGTCCTGGCCCGGCTCCATCAGGTGGGAGAAGTATCCCTCCACCACWGAGGAAGTCAGGTGTTGCTTCAGGTACGGGAAGTAAAGAGGATGACGAGCTATCACTCCTACAGAGATGGTACAGTTTAGGAATAATAATCTGTTTTTACTGAKAARACCAGCTCAGAGGGTAAAAKGGTGGGACAGTCCGTCCTCACCGATGTTTGCGGTGTCTCCTTTGTCCCCGCTCCTGGTGTAAGCCAGGTCCTGCAGTCTGTAGGAGTGTGGTCCACTGGGCAGGTCTGAACAAACCAGAGGAACACCAAGTCACAGCGGGCCTGTTGCTCCTCTGCTAAGGTTTATAAATATAAACACTCTATTTATTCACCTGTGTCAGGTACGTCCTCATCAGAGGTGGGCGGGGCTTCATCTTCTTCAGGCGTGTCTGGCCCCGCCTCTGARAGCGTCTCCACCAGCTGTCCACTGATGTGAATGTCCACCTGTTGGGATCGTTATTGTTCTTTACAGGGTTTGATCAAAACAAGATGAGCTRATACTGTTAGCTTGACTTTAGCTGTTTTTATAGCATTTTACTACTTTTAGCTAAAGCCTGAACTTCATTTAATCTGAAGTTATTTATCCTAAAGATCATCAAACTAAACCAACCTTTATTTGAGATTTTGGGTGTAAGAAGAAAAACGGCTTCAGAACTGGAGACCTGTGGGTCGCAAACACAAATAAAACGTGAAAACTATGGGATAAATCTTGTGCCAACAGGAACTGAATCTGAATGTGCATAATTAGAAATAGAATGCATTGGTTTGAAAATAAATTTCACTAAATTGAAACAGAATTTAAAGTTTTGTATCTGAATTAATTTGCTTTGAAACTGTATTTTGGTCCATTAAAAATTCAGTTTGACTACTTTCACTTTCAGTTCTATAATTCAGATTTTTGTGTCCCACATCCTGGTCCTTGAGAAAGCCAGCCAGAGTAATCAAACACAGATC